TATATATATATATGTGTGTGTGTGTGTGTGTGTGTGTGTGAGCCTAGGAAATCAGGATTTAATGAAGAGCCTGAGGCCACCAGAGGGTGCTGACGGAGGGGCGGGCAGAAGAGGCGAAGAGTGGGCGATTGTGATGGGTTCGTAAGAAAAATCGCAGTTTGGTGCAGAATAAAAAGACCCATCAGATACATACCAATTCTACCCCACCAACGACAGCAGCAAACGAGCAAATGTTACCAAGGCGCCATACGCAACTTATAGTATAAACAGGCAAATGATTAAAGTAACTTGTTAAAGATTAACGGGAAATTTCCTTTAAGCATCCAATTAAATGATGTCTTTGACTTTGGCCAAGCGGGGACCTTGAAAATGGGGTAGTTGAAAGAGCGCTGGTAGAAATGTCCACGACAGTCAGAGGAGAAGATGTGTCGCGATAACTTGAGTCCACACGTCACGACGGCTCGTGGCACTTTTCGCATCCAAAGCTGATTTGATCGAATTAACGCGTTTATTTCCAGACTACCATTATCTGAGCTACATGCACCCTATCTCTTTAAAGGTCACAAGGAGACTGATAGTCGAATTTTCCAACACGTTTGCATTCAATTTCGCATAGGTTTGCTTTCTCAAAAGGTGGACTGAAGTGTCGACCTCCCTGAACTGGTCTCATCAGCCCGCCCGGCGGGACTCGAACCCAGCTTGTGAGGTCTATTGACATGGAGACAAAATTGAGGAGTACATTTGCAACGCAAGATCTACCGGTGGCCTCGAGACCTATTTCTAAAACAAACATAATTAATCCAAATGCATTTAGTGCAATTATGATAAATTATGCTTCCTCATTCCGATGATGTCTGTTGCATGACAGACGAAAGTTCATCACGGGTGGTCGGTCGGAGTTTCAGGACGGTGAGCTGACGACTTGTTTACACAAACCAGCAATCTTCACATCCATCTTCAGCTTCTGGTAATGCCAATTGACGAATACTTTTGGGCCAAATTTTGCTTCGAAATGAAAAATCACATCACATTTAGGAACCAGTTGAAGACACATTTATGGAAATTAGGGAGCACTTCTTTTATGAACTATAATATTGGTCAGTTTGAGGAGAAAAAGTGTTTTGAAGCATAGCCTAACAACTTCACATTAATGCACTCTTCATTTCGTTTGATGGAACTTGCAAAGTAGCCTAATCGGAAACCGAATGCGGAGTACCTTTGGGTCGTGATTGTTGGCTTCCTCCAAGAAATCCTCGGCACACTGTCCTGCAAGCCCTGTAAATCTGTGCTGAGTTTCCTGATAGACACAAGATAAAGTAGGATTTTGAGACAATCAGTACATCTTAAATAGGACGTCTAGACAACACGAGTCGAATAAGGTGGTAAAGGATCGCTGGTCGAAATTTCCCACAAATTAAATATAAACGTGAATCCTACTCATGTCTTTGTGGGAATGGGCAACTACCAGTCCTTCAACAGCTTGACCGAAATTTGGTGAATACATCCTGTTCAGTAGAAATATGCCATTGCTTCAGCCCATATTTTGTCAACGAGTATGCATGGAAGATTGTTGAATTTCATGCACAAAGCAAATTGAGAGCAAATCAAGAAATTCAGCATATCAACTTTTATTTTGCTTTTGCAAATTGACAGCACGAAAAGCAGAAATTCGGTTAAAAAGTCCTTCCTACGAAATGTGGATAAAAAGATCAGAGTATTATAATGTTATGTTCTTTTTCTCTCTTTCCTTTCTTCCTTCTAACATTTTCTTTCCTTTAATTACTTTCTTTTATTCTCCTTTCATACTTTACAGACTCTTTTTTTATGTCTTCTTTTCTTTCCACCTTTGGTTGTTTATTTCCTTGCTTGTTTTCTTCTATTCTTTATTCCATATTTATTTCATGCACAAAGCAAATTAAGACCAAATCGAGAAATTCGGCCTATACACTTTTATTTTTCTTTTGCAAATTGATAGCACGAAAAGCAGAAATTCGGTTAACAAGTCCTTCTTACGAAATATGGAGAAAAAGCTCAAAGAATTATAATGTTCAGGTCTGCTTACTTTCTTTCATTCTCCTTTCTTACTTTACAGCCTAAATTTTTTTAATGTCTTCCTTTTCTCTTCACCTTTGTTTGTTTATTTCCCACTTTTCCTTTCTTGATTTTCCACTTTTTTGGCCATTTCTTACTTTTGATCCAGATTATCAAAAGGCATTGCCTCAACTGCCCTCGGTGAATGTCAGCGAGAACCTGATCATGCCATCATTTGAGTGAGATTGTATACAATTTGTGCACTGCAGCCTTTGCAAAATCCCATTTTATTAACTTCATTTTCGGGCTTCTCTCCTCAACATTGAGGGCTAGCGACTGAGTTATCCTCTATCAACAGACGAACCTTTCTTCAGGAATAGCAAATTACCCGATCCTAAAAATTGTCTGAAGACGCTCTGGTGTCTTGTTGGTGTGCCATCGGCCGGATGCCCAAACTGGGACAGATCCGCTATGAAATGTGTCCCATGCGCAAGCATCGGTTCACCGCTTTCACAGCATTTCGAGACAGATACTGTCTCGAGGTAGCTCATAGTGAAACAAATGCTGTCGTGTCTGTAGCGGATGCTGAGTTGCTGGAGGGTCCGATGAAAGGGCATTGAATTAGACGACATGGTACCAAAACCACCCAATTCAATAGACATTGGCTGACGGCCCATGGTGGAGGCTAAGGGTCACCAAATCCTCTCGCTACAATTGTATGAGTCAATTGCTTTGCCATGCTTACAAACACTTGTAGAGTGAAGACATTACGGCCTCTGTACAAGTTTGCGTGCACAACGACAAAGAGAACATTGAGTTCCCGAACAAACCGGTTTGAAATGAGTTCAGGCTGTCTTGACAATAAATATGGAAAGATAGCCTCCCAGATTATGGAAGCTCTTTAGTTTATTCAGCTCTTTCAAAAAAAACTTTTGAAGAAGCCAAGGTTGGATCTTGCAAAAACTCTGAAAAGTACCTCCGGTAAATAGTTTTCGATCTTTAGCAAAAATGACACCACTTACTTCTGATCTGTTTCCGCGTTCTA